ATCGGCAAATAATCTATATTTTTAGTAACCGATCCAGAATTGGCAATGGAAGGCTCTATTTACTGCTGCACCAGTTTTGTCCCATTTATTGAAAACTTTTGGAAGTGCGTCTTTTTAGAGAATTAAAATTTTAATGCTTGAAGTTTTGCAAATGAATGTCATTTTAGGCATAAAATATGTGCTATGTGGTAAACCTATCAGTTATTCACGCGAAGATTTGAAATGACATCGGGAATAATTGAACCTGACTATCGGGTGCTACCAACTAAAAATTACTGTAGAAAACATTTGGTCGTGATCAAACCAAAAATAAGGTAAAAATAACACGAATAGCGGTTTTAAATGTGCGAGAAACTCGTAGATTAACATCTAGTAAATAATTTAACCGTAACCTTAGGGTTAGCTGTAAAATTCTGAAATAGCGAGCAGCATTCATTGCTGGCGACAGAAGAAGCCATCACATTGGCGACGGATCACGACCGGTGCAAAAATAAAGACGGGTCAATTCAGAACAAAAATGATTTAGGTCATCTAAATAAATGTCATATGTACCGAAGGTGCCAATCATCACAATTTACGAATGCATTTTCAATTTGACTTCGTTGGATTTGGAGAGAATGCTGTTCAGTTTTTCTAATGTTATTTGAAATGCTGCACATACCTGGCTTGTAAAACACAAAAGGACTGAATGCTTAATGGGCCTTAACTGACGTACCTCCATATTTTTTGTTTATGTGGCAATACACATTAAGTACCAGCTCTTGTTGCATCCTTCTTAATGTGCGAGATGTGACTTTTGGGATTAAACCGATGCAAGATACACTCTATCATGCAAGCATATTTTGATGTTTATATAATTTGTTAGTTAAATTGAAGTAGATTTTATTAGCTTAATCAGCGCATAGCTAAAATCATGTCTTCTAGTACAACCATTATTAAATGAGATGCATTTTAGTGTTATTCTCACTCGTAGATGATTGATTCACACTTTGCTGATTGACAGCTTTATACGCCTTAGAAGGAGGTGCAATCTGTGAAATGTTTTCACCATATTCACCACGCACAACCTTTGCACTTCATGATTTTAGGCACATTTCATTTGAAGGAGTTAATTAAAGTGAATGCTGAGAGTTACTTTTAAAGATTATTCATCGATTCGTTGTCTGACGTATTTGTTTTATCAGGAAAGAAAAATCGACATTATCAATGATGTTGTCGGAGAAGTGGACAAATGCCAATTTTCAGGTTAGCAGTTTCATTAGTAATATGCCGTTGCTTGCTTTGACGTCGCTAGTCGGCAAGTTGATTACATTAGTTAGCATTATCGGCTTTTTGGCGTTGATCAAAGCAAAGGAGCTCCTCTGCAAAATTGCTTTCCCGATTTCTGCTTTTTCCCAGTAACGACCTTTGTATGGGTCTGTGTTTCAAGCTCGCTTCATCCTCAAAAAACTTCATATCGAGGAGGCGTTTAGTCAATTCTGCTGCCGCAACTTGCCCTGCTGTTGAACGCCGAGTCATTGGCTCTGAGCCTGGCTCTGGCCATGACGATCGACCGTTACATAGTCGTTTTTAGACCGAGGTTCTATGGCCAAGTCAATCCATCCAAAGTGCATGTGCCATCGGTGGTGTGTGGTATCGTCTTTACCCTGGTGCGTACAATGCTTCTGGCAACAACCAAAACATGGAAGCGCGCACATTCCTGTTCCACGTCTGCGATGCGAACGTGTGTACTGAATCTTTACAAACAGCGTACGCGATTCAAGGAGTCAATCTGTTCTGTGTGGCCCTCATAACTGCCGCAGTGTAGTGATCAAAATTGTCTGATGCTTCAGCAACGGATGCAGTCTCGCAAACGAAATTTGTCCTAAATCTGCCAGTTCAAGTTTTCTCAACAAATTATACGGTCAATAGGCAGAACAGCTTTATAGCGGTAACGGTGTTTTCGCTGGTCGCCGGAAGAGTCTGTCTTCTTCTCGCCACTCGCGTCACATCGCCATGATTCGTGTCCTTCGTTTCCTGGTCTCTTTGAACCCCGTGATGAACTCTGTCGTCTACGTTCTCCTGTTGCTAGTATTCATGATCAAAATCAAGCACCTCTTCATTAGACCCATTGGCATTAACCCCTTTTGAATTATGTTTGCTTAGCTTTTTGCAAAAGTATTGACCTTGATTCTTTTGCTTCCAATGTTTCTGTGTCCAGTGCCGTAAGAATGCTAAGAATTACAATGCATGTTCCTTAGCACAGTGGTCGAACAAGATATGTGTTGTTCGACATCATGTCGACTATTTTTATTGAGATCAAAATATCATAAACTTTATGTATACATCGTAAGGCGTCGTAAGTCTGACGCAGGATTCGGAAAGAAGGACGACGCTTGCGTGAAGATGCGCTAAAAATATCTCCAAACCAGAAATCGACCGATACTACCAGAGAGAAATCAAGGATTTCATAATGCATGCGTTTCTTCAAAATCCTACTGCATAAAATGCTTCAGTCCCTAAGTGAGCAATCGCAAAGAAAATTTTCTATCGGAATTGCAAGTAACAAAAGCCGAAGCCTCGAGTTAAACTGAAATGAATTTTAACAGCCTATGCGGCTTTTGGAAACGGTGCAATGAGCGAGAGTGTGTAAAGTTCGATAAAAGTAAGACAATGAGGATCAGGTTTTTATATTTTAATAAAAACCTCGCCATGGTCCTCAGTCATCCTCATATCTCATACGGGCTTAGGACCGGCAACGTCGGAGTTTGATTCATTTGTCATAAATCATACACTCTTGACTGGCTTTAATTATATCCCGTAGAACTTTCTGAAATGCCGCGAATTTCTTATAAAACGGATATATTTTCGTCGTCCAAAAATCCCGTCACTTTCACCTTGTATCAGGATCATACTCATTCAATCGGTAACCCACTCTCATTGGCACATACGAAAATAGACACTTGGTCAGACTCTTTGGACGAACATTTTAGATAAAAATATATTCTTTTTAAAGGATAGTAGGCGATGATTGGGAAGAAAGTGGTGCAAAGAGTTTTCTTCGCACTTTAGGAAAGACGGATTCAAACCCCAAGCACAGTGCAAAACAACTTTGTCTCATTATCTGCTGAGCAGTTAACTCACCATATTTGACTTCATTGAAGCCAGCCGAAAACCGTACATGAAGTGGTTGACCTGTGCACAATGCGTACAATACGGCTGACGTTGTCGCAGGATTGGACGCATTATTATGTATGATCATTTACAACATGTGGCAACGGAGTGCCAGGAGAAAATGCAAAGCCTTGACTCGAAGCTATTCTAGAACAAAGCGAAAGGAACAATGTGCAGCATGTGACACAAAAAAGACATATCCCCCAGGTGATCACAATGTACCGCCATCATCTAAAAAAGACACTAGATGAGGTGCTTCAATGAGGTATTAGTCGCCCTGACTTGCGTTACATAGACCGTAACGAAGGATGTAAACTCTGTGCGGACTGCAAAACTTATCACCCATGTCACTAAGAAATTACGCAACTGGCAACATGGACCAAAATACTCTCTTCTGCATTTAGAACATACGAATTGCTGCAGATAATCAGGAGCACCTTCGAAGTTCATTCACTTCTTTAAGAAGGCTATTGAGACACATACCTAAGCATTGTTGCTGATTGCAGATCACTCATCCAATTGACCAAATAATCTGCATTGTTTATAAGTAAACATACGTCGTTATTTCAGTGTTAAAACCAGCGCAAAAAACTCAGGCAATAAGACAAAAATCGTATGTTGAGACTTATCCATGGCTCAGTTTTATGCTTTGTCAGTCTTATGCTTACGTTTACGAAAAGGGCTTGGCCCGGGTCTATGCTAATTTTTGTTTTTAGGCCTAGGTCTAGGTCTACGTTTGGGTTTAAGCATGGGTCAATATTTGGGATTCATCTCAAATTTTAGTTTAATCGTAACTATAGGTTTAGCTTGAGTCGTAGCTATAGACCTAGATTCAGCATTAGACTCAGATTTATATTTTGGCTTAGTTTTAGGCTTAGGTTTGTCTTAAGTTTAGGTCAATGATTTAGCTGAGGCACAGGCGCATGCTTGGACCCACGCCTGGGCTTGAGCCTAGGCTACATCTTGTTCTTACTTTTGTATTTGTGCTTAGGCCTTACTCATACTATACATGGTGATCCGGCAGAATATACCCCAGATGTCCCTTTCTGGTGAGGTGATACGGTGAGACCCAACACTAGTCAAGAACTCTACCGCGTTCAAGAGCTCACCAATCACTTACTTTATGCATCTCTATGGTTGAAGGATGTGAACGACGAAAACAATAATTCACGGAAGCTAATTAATCCATTCCGAATGAATTGTCTACGAAACTCGTAAAAAGCACATTACGCACGGAAGAACATTACGGCGTCGGTCGGGCCCAGGCCTGGGATTAGTTATGATCAGATGATTTTCAGGACGCGACTGGCAAACAACAAAATACATCATCAGGATCTTCATGGTTAGCGCAACACTAGAACTCTGTCGAGATGCGCTCGACCTCATCTGCATCACCGAGGCGAAGAAGAACAAAACGAATGTCATCGACGTGTGCGAAACCTGCAGGTCCGCCAAACATACCCGATTGTTCGCGCTTGTATAGGATTTCACTATTCCCTGAAAAGGGATAGAGCTCAAAGGAATTTGAGCAGTTGCTAGCACTCATCCAGAACGATGTTTCGGACGTTGATAGTCTTTATATGCGACTATTTCGTATGATTATTTTTATATAATGAATATTTTGTACTGTTCCTGTTAATCACTTTGAATAGTACTGTAATATTTAGAGAGTAGACATTTCGTTTCGGATACGCTTGATAACGGTAAGACGAAATTTGATTCAAATTAACCGCTGTAAAGTTTTATTGTACTAAAACTGTTTTTAAGTTTTTCGTTTAAGATGAACCTGTTTTTTGGATTTTTTAATGGACCTTCTTTAGAATTGCGGTAGTTTTATATATGTACTAATGTTTTACCACTTGTCGCTTGAACACGATATTTTGTTGCATCCTCATTATTTCGGTCCTCAATTGCTGGAAACCGTTAAACAAAAGTTATTTACGGAGGTGGAGGGCAGCTGCAGCGGAAAGTACGGGTTCGTGATTGCCGTGACCAGTATTGACAACATCGGTTCAGGGTTAATTCAACCCGGGCGCGGGTTCGCCTTGTTTCCGGTGAAATACAAGGCAATTGTGTTTCGACCTTTCAAGGGCGAGGTGATCGACGCCATCGTGAGTCAGGTGAACAGAGTTGGAATGTTCTGCGAGGTTGGGCCGCTGTCGCTGTTCATCAGTAAGCACTGCATACCGGCGGATATGGATTTCGACCCAAACAGCTCCCCTCCTTGTTTCCGCAACAGTGACGACACGATGTTGATCAAGGAGCGCGATGTGGTTCGCTTAAAGATAATTGGAACGCGTGTGGACGCTACCGACATATTCGCGATCGGTACACTGATGGATGATTTCCTGGGTCTCGTTTCTTCGCAGTAATAATTTCGGTTTGTCATGTAATAACTAAACCTCAAGGATCCAGATGCGTATGTTTCCTTTTTGATTGATTTTTCTTAATAAACAAATGATTTTCTGAATTGCCGTATAGTGATATACGATATTGTCTTTCAACTGTTTCCATCGTTTTAATGTTTTTGATTGTTTAGCTTCGACCTAGAAATAAAGACGAAAAAGGACGAAGTCATTCTCTCGGTCTTCACCACGGTACATATAAACCTAATGAAGGTCGTCAAACGACGACCGAAAGCCATGTTGAAAATCCACCGGTCTGAAGAGCAACGATACATACATCCTGTCTGGCTCTATTTTTCAGTAGGCAAATCTTAGGTTCGAATGGCTTGTCACTGCTACTAGATCTTAAAAGAAATGTGTTTGTTTGTGCTCATTTAGGCTTTACCCTAAGGTATTAGAATAATTCAAATCCAGCGGTTTCACTCCCAGGTAAATGATGGGACCTCTCAACAAAAAGCTTCTATTCTGAGCTCAGCCAATATGTTATTGGCATCTTCAAATGTATATTTAACGTTGTCGTTCATGTTATTCTGCTGTTACAACGACAAACGTCATTTCGAGCTACGCTTGATGCTTGAGGGGTGAAACTGAAGATTTTTTTTGACTGTACCGGTGTCATCGTCGTACTGAACGACAGTAATCTGACATTAGCTTAATTTCAGATCGGTTTGATTTCCTAAGTTTCTGGTAAAACATAGGGCAAGTTTCTATTCCTTAGTCAAAGCCTATCAACCTTGCAAGAAGCATTTCAAATTATGATACCGGAT